CCTTTCCCTTTCCCTTTCCCTTTCCCTTTCCCTTTCCCTTTCCCTTTCCCTTTTCCTCTTCTTTCTTCTTTCTCTTTTTTCTTTTCATTAGCTTTTTGGGTGTTTGGGGGAGTTTTGGAGTGGGTGTCTCTCAGCTGGCTCTGCCCACTGTCCCCCCGTGTTGCCCTGCTTTGCCCTGCAAAATGTGACTCCAGGAGCTTTGATGTAAAGGGGGGTGAGGGGGGGAAGAGGATGTGTGTCCCAAAATGTCCAAAACGCTTCTTCCTCTGCCCAAACCCAACCCGCAGGACCCCTGGGAGAAGTCCCTGCTGTTCCTGACCTGGTGCCTGGGGATGGAGCGGTGGCAGGGAGCAGGCAGTGCTCAAACCCTGATTAGTGCATAACGGGGGGCACAAGGGTTTGTGCACGTGGCTGTGCACAGACCCTTCACCCCCCCATTCCCCAGCCCAGGGGACGGGCAGGGACAGGCTGTGAGGAAGGTGACATGTGTCCTGTGTCCCAGGAAGGCTCCCAACGCTTTGTTTCATCACTCTTAGTCTTTTTCTTCTTCTTTTCCATCCTTCCTTGGTCCAGACAGAGGGGAGACTCAGGTCTGGGGGAAGGTGTGTGGCTTTTTTTAGAGACCTGGGCCCTTTCCGTGTGTGCACATGAACTCACACTCATGCACAAGCACACACACACACATGCAGACCTCCCTCACCCCCCTCCCAAGTCATTTCTGTTGGTACACCCAAAAGTTTGTCTCCCCAGCCGGTGTCTGGTTGGGAATTTCTGGGATGGAGAGAGCTGGGAAGGGGGTAATTACCTCTAGGTGTTGATGGGGAAACTGAGGCACGGCGCAGGGACTTGTGGTTCTCAGCCACACTATAGTTTTGGGCCATCCCATCATCGATTGCATCTGACAAGTCTGCAGATCTCAGGGAAAAGGTGCCCGGGAAGTTCTCTCAGGGCTGCCTGGTGGTGGCCGGGCTCCAGACCCCTGGCCGGGTCCCCAGGTCCCCCCCCGGGCAGCAAACCCTGTCACCAAACCCTCCCTCCGCCTCAGCTCCCCGCCATAAATCACTGCCCTCCATTGGCCGAGGACCTTTTAAAAAGGATTTATTAGGGGGAATTTAAGCCCAGGCAGCGATACGGTTTCATAAATCGAAAGGCAATAGCGCTCATCATTA